TAGTAGAGACGGGGTTTCACCATGTTGACCAGGATGGTCTCGATCTCTTGACCTCGTGATCCACCCGCCTCGGCCTCCCACAGTGCTGGGATTACAGGCTTGAGCCACCGCGCCCGGCCCGGCTAGAGAGTCTTATTGCTTCAGAGGGGCATGCCTTGCAGGTTTCAGCACAGATGGGATAGTTTACTGATTGCAGTAGGAGGAGCCAGACCCGATACATGGTGCCATCAGGATCTCCTGTGAGTTGGAAGTTGACAGTCCTGTCAGGGAGGCTCAGACTCCCAAGCTGTGTGATATGGGTGATTCTCCCTCTGGATCATTGTGTGAGCAGCTCTGAGCTGGGATCTCAGCTGACAGTGGCTGAAGCCAAGCCACAGGGAAACTTTCAGGTTTGCCACTGAGATAGATGTCAGCAGGAAGATGAGTTTCTCTGCCAAGTCACTAGTATGCATACCTCTTGGATCCCTTGGCAGATGGTTTTGGTTGCAGGCTCAAGACCAAATGAAGGAGACAAGCCTCTTGGAGGACAGGACGATTTCAGGACTTGAATGTGGGGGCAAGCTTGTAGTATCAGCTACCTAGAGTCAATCTGCATTCTTAGAATGATGCTCCCAGGTTGTGAGCTACATGAAGAATTCACAAACTCCTACCTAAATTTTGAGGCTCCTGCAGAGTGGCTTTGGACCATGTATGGGTGTAGAATTTTTTGTTGTTGTTGTGGAATATATGAATGGATTACCTTCTATTCCGTTGTCTTGGTTATGCCACTCTGCATATGCTTAATCTTAAGGCCAGTGGAGACCCATACAATGACAGTATTTGTGTCCACATAGATGCAAAGTTTTATGATTATACATAATAAAGATTAAATTCATTTAAATTAGTAATATAATGTTATATTCTGGATATTTTCACTTGACATATATCACTGGTTTTTCTTTAACTTTTTGTTTAGATTTGGGGGTACATGTGAATGGTTTGTTACATAGGTAAACACATTGTCATAGACGTTTTTGTATATATTATTTCATCATCCAGGTATTCGGCCTAGTACCCAACAGTTTTTCTGCTCCTCTCCTTCCTCCCATCCTCCCCTCTCAAGTAGACCCCAGTGTCTGCTATTTACTTCCTTGTATCACTGGTTTTTCAAAAATTATGATATGGAAAGTCAAATTTTTAATGCTTATATAACAGTCAATCATGTTGACTATCATATTGATTTAATTAACCATTCATTTATTTTTATACATTTTGATTATTTCTTTTATTTTATAAATAATGCTCAATTATAATTTTTTTTGCTTTATATCTTTAGGATAAACATTTAGACATATTTATCTAAATATTTAGATATTTAATCAAAGGATATAAACACTTATGGCTTTTGGAATCTTCTGATAAATTTACTTTCTCAGTTTACACTGCTATTAATAAAGTAAGAATATAGATCAGATTCACTACATTTCTTTTGGTTGAGAGGTATTATATCTTATAAATTTTCACAAATTAAATCTACCAAATATGTAGTTTGTTTCTGTAAATATTACCAACATTAAACAATTTTCCACATTGTATTTTCAATGCAAGTTTTCATCTGTGAATTGTCTTTGGTTTATCTCTTGATTGGTGATATTTTTATAGACACAAGATTTTAAAATGAATTTCTGTATTTCTAAATTTTGAACCATATTTCTCCTTTAGTGAATCGATCAATTAAATTCTATTATTACTTATTCAATAATTATTTAATTTTAAAATTTATCTCAAATATATTTATCAAATTTTAATCAAGGGCTTAATAGTAGTGATTAATCGTATGTTATGACTAAAGTTTTATCTATTAAAATTTGTATGAAAAATAGGCTTTATATTAAAGTTACTCATCTAGTTTAAGTGATTTATGTTTGTTGGTCAGACACTACAATGCTGTTTTTATTATTACTGCTATATAACATATCTTAATTTTGGGGAAGAGCTAGTAATTTCCTCATTAATCTTTTTTTAATATTGTTTTGATAATTATGCAGTTTTCTTATGAATGAAATATATAATAATAAAAGTATAACTTCAGTATTGTCTGACCTCATACATTGAATAGCAAATATAAAAGGATTCCTCAATACATTAGGCAGAATGCAAACAACAGTTTCCAAATACACATATGGCTATTTTATAAAGGGAAAGTAAGTTCTCACAATTGCTCAAAGAAATCTAACTCACGTAATTCTGGTATAAGAGAAGTTTTATGTTTAGAAATAAACTTTCTAGTATTCCATCTGCTTGGTTTCATATTAATTGAAGTTTGAATAATCATTACTTTTGTGAAATCTTCCGTACCTTGTATCTGAAAGTTGACAGAACACAGATTAATTTCTGAGCAAATATCCTACAATTAAAAATTTCTCTAGTAAGCTAAATTTTTGGCTTTCTCTAAATATCTGGGGAAAATGGGAAATAGTAAAAATCAACACAAATATGATTGTTATCTTAAAATACCTGGATATGTTGGTTTTGTGAAAGTCAATATTCCATATACATTCATTGAATTTAAAATATTTCTATTCAATATGGAATAAAATAATTAAGAATGAATCACCAGGCTGGGCGCGATGGCTCATGCCTGTAATCCCAGCACTTTAGGAGGCTGAGGCAGGTGGATCACGAGGTCAGGAGATTGAGACTATCCTGGTCAACATGGTGAAACATTCTCTACTAACAATACAAAAATTAGCTGGGTATGGTGGTGCGTGCCTGTAGTCCCAGCTACTCAGGAGGCTGAGGGCAGGAGAATTGCTTGAACCAGGGAGGTGGAGGTTGCAGTGAGCTGTGATTGTGTCATTGCACTCCAGCCTGGCAACAGAGTAAGACTCCATGAAAGAAAGATAAAGGGAAGGAGGGAAAGAGGGAAGGAGGGAAAGAGGGAAGGAAGGAAGGAAGGAAGGAAGAAAGGGGAAGGAAGAAAGGGGAAGGAAGGAAGGAAGGAAGAAAGGGGAAGGAAG